TCTGAAATTAAGCTAATTTTTGGGCAAATATGAAATGCAAGTGATGGAAAACAAGGAGGAAATGTAAATATTTTGGCCGTGCTAACCTTCAATCACCTTACGAACACGATCAAGAAAATAAATGATTCGAAAAGGAGATTTAAACTAACTTTGATCACTTAAGATGGCCATGAAAGTGCACGAACTATATGAAAGATCAAAGACCAAAGTTATGCAGATAGAGTAAGATAAGAATAGTAATACTATCATCGAACGAAAAAGCTTTCCCTTTTTTTCTTTACCTGAAAGCTCGGCCGCTTCATCACTATCAGTATCTTCTGAATCGGAATCTAAATAATTGCTTTTGTTAGAATCTGCATTTTCTAATTCCAATGCAATTAAACACATGTATCTGCAGAAAAGAGATTACTATTACAGATTTACAGCTTGTAAAGCTGAGAATTAATACCTGAGCTTTGAAGTTCTGCATCTTGTTCTTGAAGCTTGACTAAGTTATACCATTCCCTGAAAGCTCGTCGAAAAAAAGAAAATCGCAACATTTTCAATAAGATGTATGGAAGAAAATCTGAACCAACAGTCTGAACCAAATCCGAGCTGCGCACTAATCGAAAGCCATAAATCGGTCTGAAATTACTCTTATTGCTTCGAAAGAGCGAGTTTCTTACACATTTTTGTAAATTCGTTTTATTATTTCTAGCAACATAGGAAGACATGAAGAGAACACTGAACTGTTTCCTTTTTGCTTTTCTTGAACTTCATCTTGAACAGTACATTCACAGAGAGAGAGAGAGAGAGAGAGAGAGAGAGAGAGAGAGAGAGAGAGAATAGAGAATACAGTGAACTTTTTTCTTTTTCCTAGAGTTTTTCTTACATTGTTCACCTGATAATCAAGAATCACAACCTAGAAATGCAAGAACAGCAAGAGCCAAATAGAGCAAAGAAAGAATCAACAACAGAACAAGAAAGATCCTCAAACATGTTTTTCCCAAGCAAATAACAACAAGATTAGCAGAAAAAAAAAACCCATTTGCATACTCGAAATTCACACACACACACAGAGAGAGAGGGAGAGAAAGAGAGAGAGGGAGAGGGAGAGTACACAGACGAATCCTGCCCAAAACGGCGTCGTTTCATGTTGATTCTTGCAAAGCGACACAGCCTCTGCACAAGAACTAAGCTTTCTTCTCTTTACACTTCAATTTTCACAAGAACCAACAATTGGGGGGGGAAACAAATCGCTTTTTACGGATAAAAGGGTCTTGTGATTTCAATTTTTGTCTTCTATTCGTTTTACAGTGAGTGTGTGTGTGTGTGTGTGTGTGCAGGTGGAGTTCGTACGTTGTCCAATGGCGGTTCGCTACCTGTTTTTTTGAATGTACGGACTGTGCTCCTTTTCTTGTCTTTATTTGTTTTCTCCACTTGTTAGGGTTGTATTCAATTTCAACTCTTACAGATTTTTTAAAACTTTTAGAATTCTGGTGTATTCAATTAGAACTTTTAAAGACTTCTAAAAAGTTTACATGTATTCAATTGAGACTTGTAATGACTTTTAATAAGTCTCTAAAAGTCTCAGGGTATTCAATTAAAACATTCTGAGAGTCTTTATAAGTCACCCGATATTCAAAACAGAAAGACTTTGTGAGACTTTTTA